CAAAATAATGATCTTTAAAATAGCATCATATGACCCCTTTAAAGTGCCCCTATTATGCCTTTTCGAATATTACCTTTCATGCAGTGTGTCATGTAGCTGTATGTGAACATAAACTATCTGCAAAGTTGTGAAGCCGACAGTGCACGATAAATAAAGTTATTGTCTATCAAAAAAAAGAGTCGGCTCGCAATCGCCTAAACGAGTCGTCAGGAATTCGAATCTTATTCTGTTACGGCTCTACGTCACGAAGTAACACATTTGCATAATGTACGCCCATGTCCTACATCGCCACCTTGCCCACAAACAGTAAAATTTCAGTGTGGTTAACATCATGTCGAGAAGACGCTGTATCCTACGCTGTGAGAGTAAATTTATGTTACCACATTTTATAATTACCACAAACTTTTTAACACTTGACACTTACCACTGAGAAACGTCCTGCTCCAGTCGTGCTTGCGAATCAGTCTCTTGTCAATCAGCCAGTTCAACCGTTTCATCATCAGACTCCGGCTTGAATTGGTAAGGTACAATTGATACCATCTTTTCTATGTATTGACAAGTCTCCAGGGCTGTCATTCCGTCATGGCAATGGGCGTTTTGTTTCTGACACGCACTGTACGCGATAGACCAATCCAGAGCCAACCTCTCTACGGCTCTGGACCAATCACAAAGGACTGCGCCATCTGACCAATCACAGCAGTGAGGGCTCACGGAAAGGAGGGGTTTAGAGAGACTGATTCTTTGAACTGCTTCACACGAGTCGTTTACGAATCATTTAGAAATTACGTTTAGGTGTAAGGGATGGTTCAACAGTGTAATTATAAATGTAATTGCAGAAATTAGTTACAGATGTATTTACATGCAGGTATTTAAAAAAATATAAGTACAATGTAAAAACATGTATGTACGCAATAAGTGCAATGTATTAAATGATTAATTTAAATGTAAGTACATAGTCGTTAAAGGTGCAATAGGTGATTGTCTTCAGAAACATTTTTTGTTATGCTGGTTGAAAGTCTCTTCACATGCCGATAGCAATCATTAAGTTACGTGGTCTAAATGTATTTATCTGTATTTATATATTCTGTGGCAGGCGTAGGACCATGATCGTGCTTGCGAATCAGTCTCTTGTCAATCAGCCAGTTCAACCGTTTCATCATCAGACTCCGGCTTGAATTGGTAAGGTACAATTGATACCATCTTTTCTATGTATTGACAAGTCTCCAGGGCTGTCATTCCGTCATGGCAATGGGCGTTTTGTTTCTGACACGCACTGTACGCGATAGACCAATCCAGAGCCAACCTCTCTACGGCTCTGGACCAATCACAAAGGACTGCGCCATCTGACCAATCACAGCAGTGAGGGCTCACGGAAAGGAGGGGTTTAGAGAGACTGATTCTTTGAACTGCTTCGCACGAGTCGTTTGATGTAGCCCAGCGGTTCCCAATTCCAGTCCTCGCGCCCCCCCCCCTGCTCTGCATATTTTGCATGTCTCGCTTAGTTAACACACCCGATTCAGATAACCAGCTCGTTAGGGTGGGACGTTCGCTTTCAGTGCTATCGGGCTAAAGTTAGCATTTTCCAAGATCTCCTACTGCACCTTTAAGGCCACCTAATATAAAGTGGGACCAAAACGATTAACATCTAGCTATTTGCCTAACTATTTAGGCTATAACATGTGTTTGCTGCGTTGAGCAATATTGATTTCTGGAACGCAATGGCCAGTCATGAGTGCAGTCAGAACAACCGGCATTGTAGGCTACTCTCCCAGGTTCAGGAAACAGTCCTCCGTAAAATGCGCTGCACACACACAAATATTTGGTTTGAACTGTTCTGAACAGTGTTGTAAATACAACTTAACCACTGATTTCTAGTTGTGTCCTCTTTTGGAAGACCAAACAAAGTTTCGCTTTCACAACGAAACACACAGCGTCTCCACGACATGGCGGCAGCGGCAAAAATACTATAGCGAGAATCAAAGTTATGCCTTCTTTCTTTGTGTGAACATTCGTGTGGTGTTATGCAAATCTTCCCACACAGTGACATAGATGTGTGGGGGCGTGGACGAGTCTTAACTTTTAAATGGAATATCTCTTTGGGTTGAGACTTTAGTCTTTGCAACTTAAGGGATCTTATGTATTCACAAACAGCTTGTAACACTCCAAAGAGAAAGGAAAAGGTGAGGACCAGTTGGGGAGTTACGGAATGGCCCGCTTTGTGGGATCTCATATCGCATAATCTTATTAACTGCTTATCTCCTGAACTTTCTTTACCACGCTATTCAGCTCCAATCCCACCGTGCAGTCAATTTCACTGGCTAAGGTTAGGGTCAGGTGGTGGGTAGGCTTAGGGGTTAGCATTTATTGTAGCATAGTGTAGGAAATCAACACTGTGATTGACAACCAATAAAATCTTTAGAATCAGCTGTGGGGCGGAGTTTCCACTGAACTGGATTGGGAGAAAAAATTGCGCATGTGATGCGACGTGCCTGTCTGTCAATGGGAGGATGCCACGCCCTATTTTGGAGCTCCCACCCCGTTTTGGAGTTCCCTCCCCCATTTGGATCTCCAGGCTGCAGTTAAGGTGCGTTCACACCATATCGGAATTCCCATAATTACGAGATTCCAATTTCCAATAAAAAGTGTTCACATCCTCGTAGAGCTCGTAATTACAATTTGTGAACGGGGAGTTTTCTGAGAGCTACGACTTGTAAAATGTGACTGCTGTACCACCTGACCACCGCAGGCTCTGTTTAGGCATTGATAGTGTTGCCATAGAAAAGCATAATTCCGAGTCCGTAGAACGTCACGTGCTGTCATCTCGAAATTACGGTAATTACGATATGGCGTGAACGCAGCTTCTCGAAAGTTCAGGCTATTCTAATCACATGACCATCACCAGGATCACCAGCCCCTCTGCCTCATATTCAGTGGAGTGCCGTTGGTTCTCTCTTTCTCGTCTCTCTGACCCAAGCAGCACAGTTTGGCCGGTCTCCAGCAATAACACAGCTGTTGAAATGGCTTAGTTGCCGGGGTGATGCGCGCTGCGCCCGGGCGGAATGTTTGTGTGTGCTAAGCTGACATTCAAAGCTCTTTGGCACAGCCGCTCGTAGGTGGGGGCCACTGCAGACACACTGGAGGAGAGAGGATTGGGCTAATAATGTCTGCCGCTCTCTCCCTCTCTGTTCCTCCTGCCCCTCCCCCCATAAAGCTCAGCCTTCCTTGTGCAGGAATTCTTTTTAGTGCTCTCCAGCTTGTTTCATAACACAACAAGGATCTCTTTAGAGAAGTGAAGTGGAACTCACAAGGCTGTGCAAAGCGATCTAAACCACCAGCCCCTTTCCCAGATACCTCCTGCTTTCCCAAAGCTCAGGAGTTTCACACCACATGACTCTGTAATACTTTGACAATCCCTCATGCAAAGTTGAACCTGTTTTTTTTTTTTTGTGAATGTATTGGTGTGTGAGAGGTTATGATTGACTCAAATAGGGTGTCCATTTATAAAATGACTCCCAGGTTACCTTGAGCTACTTTTAGCCACACTGTGATGACAAGTTATTCATGAGAATGCTAAGGCATGTCATAAATCTGTCATTTCACATGTCTGCATTTGGCCTTGTCCATAAGTCCAATATTGTTCTTCAGTCAGCAGGTGCTCATTCATTTTTCCAGATGTCAAGGTTTTGAAGAGATAAGAATTCACTCAAAAATGACCTGCAATGATCATTTACTCACCCTCATGTTGTTTTGCATGCTTATGCGTCTTTATTTTCCCTGTGAAACACAAAAGGTGAATTTGAGTGTTGTCAAAATCCAAATGCCAGAAAAAAAGTAATGGTGGTTAAAAAGTAAAACCGTAAAAAGTGGTCAGTAGGACTCGTGCATTGTATTCTAAGACTTCTGTAGTCTTATGATAACGTCATTTACAAGATGTGCTGTTTCACAGATCTAATATACTGATACACACGCAGTTTCTTCCCAACTTTTTACATTCACAAACAAAATGCATTGCAGTAATTTCCCAAAATGTCATTTGTGTAGAAATATAACAAAGTTTGTAAACAGGAATGAACTTGCAATGAACTTGTGAGCTCTATAAAAAATAGCTTTTCATGGTTCTCATGTAGCTGGCATCTTTGTTTGGATCGTGATCAGTGCCAAATGGCTACAGCTATTTTTTTTAAGGCAAGTTCAGCCTGTAATAGAGCAAAAACATTTTATGTACTTTTTAATTCATTCTTGTCTCAAGCTTAAAGAAAGAAAAAAAAGGCAATCGGAATCGACCCAATTGCTTGTTTAAAAAAAAAAGACTGGAGATCAGAATCGCTAGTCAGTTGGCAAATAAGGTTATTTACAAAGGTTTTAAAGAAGTTAAGCAGTTAAGAAGAAAATAGCAGTTATTAAAATAAAGCAACTGTTACTGGTTATAGTGCATTATCTTTCTGATATATCAGACTGAATTATGTGTGTTCTTTGTTGGCGTGTAGAAGATGGATCTTTGGTCACCATGGATGTTGGTCTGGCCTACAGAGACAGCACTCTGAGTGAGTGGACTGAGATGGCCCATTCAATAGAGCATCGCAAATTGAGCTGCAATTTCACTGCCACAAAGGTAAGCTCGCAAGTTATTTCTGAATCGTAACAAATCCAAAAACACCCCTTACTGATAGTGTTAAGGCCATTTTTCAAGGTAGGGCAGAGACTTCAATCTCTGTAAATGCTATATAGGGAACAAGTGTGTTGTACCTTGAAAAGCTCAGTATTCATCTTAGTTTTCTTTTAAAATGTTCAAAACCTCACCAGAATCTCTTTTTTTTTTTTGTCAGACTTATGAGAACGAGGGGCGCTACTATGATTGTGACCTGTTGCCCTTTATGGAGGTTGGCAGTGTGGCCCATAAGTACTATCTTCTCAACATCCGACTTCCTGTTAATGAACGCAAAAAAGTCAACATGGGGATTGGAGAAATCAAAGACATTCGTCTAGTGGTGAGTCTTCAGACAATATAGAATGTGTGCTGTGACTTTGATTAAATACAGTCATAGGATGCATGTTTACTCAGAGTTATGCAAGCAGTTTTGTTTGAGCTTTGTTTGCATGGGAGGATTTTGGCCCAGTCTCGGCTTGTTATAATCGGCACACACTTCTGGACAGGGCAATGGTTATACAAATGTCAGTGGACTGAAAATATCTGGATTGCATCACTTCTTAATCTTCCCTTCTGTTTGGCTTACTCTTATTTGGCTCTCAGCAAACAACCATACCCATTAATTAAGTGCTCTTAATGTGTTTCTTGTGATGTCACTGTAATGTCCCTCTCAATGTAACTTTCCAGAGCATTCATCAAAATGGTGGCTTCACCAAGGTTTGGTTTGCCATGAAGACGTTCCTCACTCCCAGCGTCCTCATTATCATGATCTGGTACTGGAGGAGAATCACCCAGATGACCAGGCCACCTGTTCTCCTGGAAAAGTAAGATTCTTATGTTTCTGTCACTTCTTTAAACTGGTCTGCTAGATCAAGGCCACAGTCACACAACAGCAGAATACGATTGTCATTACTGTATTTGAGTCCTTAATAGGGTTACGTTCAGACTGTTTGGTTACTTATGGGATTGACAACCCTATTCTATAACTGAACTCACATCAGTGAACTTTCAGGACTCAGATCTGTATTTTAAGCAAAGCCCTGCTGTGTGAACGGAACCATACTGGACAACTACTTGTCACTTCTAGCATGGGTTTTAATTTTTCGGTTTATGGTTTCTGTAACTTACAGAAAAGCAGATATGAGCAGTGTGTCATCTGAAATTTTAGATCCTGTCCTATCAGTTTTGTGGTATGCATGCATCGCAAATGCTCCACTCTTTACTGAGGTATAAATCTGCCTTAAGATTCTCACTAAAATCTTAAGATTTTCCAGAATAAATTTAGCCTCAATTGAACTTTTGTTGCAGTTTTGGACGTCGCCATATTTGACATTTACTTTATTCGCTGTTGCTATGATTACAGATAGTGGGCGCAAATATAATACGGACTTGACTTCAATTGCATGTTTATACACAGGGAGTATATGAGCCTCTATCGTAAGATGTTGTGTGAATAGGACATTTTGAGAATCACAATGTAAATGCCGTTGTCATTCCAACTGACAGTGTGAATGTAGCCCAAAAGGTAACAGTTTTTTGTTTTTGTTTTATTGGTTTACTGGTCAATAGAATGAAGAAAGGCAGGATAATTTAAATCCTTTTACCATATGGTTTTTTTGACCATAGGAAACATTATTTTAATTACTTTTTTTTTGTAAGGCCAAGGGGGTTGCCAGGGTGTTGCTAATTGGTTGAAAGAAAAAGCTTAAAGGGGTCATATGATGCTTTTTTAAAGATCATTATTTTGTGTATTTGGTGTAACAGATTATGTTGACATGCCGGGTTATGAGTTGTTTTTACAGTACTACTGTGTGGTTGCTTGGGTGTTCTGGGTTGATAGCTAGGTGCTAGGTGCTTGCTTACTGGTCCAAGTCAAATATGTCCTCCTCCCCAAGTCTCTGCAATATTCTGGTCTAGAAATATTGCTGGACCCTCCTTCAGTTTATATCTATGGGATAGTTTATGGGACAGTGCATGTCTGAACCATTTTAGATATCAATTATGTCTTCAGCATGCAGAAAAAAATGACTTAGAAAAGTTAAATTCTGATAAATTAGTAACTGTAATGGTGATGCTTGCCTTAGAAAAACACTGAAATCGACTTTGAAAACACTTAAAATTGAATGAAGGAATTAAAATGGTGAAACGTTTTTATTATCTTATTTTTTTACATTCAAGCATATCATAGACTCTTGTATGCAAAGCAACCTTAATTGCATTTAAGATATGCATTTTATCAGTTCATTTGTTCATGCATTCCCTAAGAAGCAAACCCATGATCTTGTTTCTGCTAGCGCCATGCTCAACGGTTTGAGCTACAGGAATGTATCTAACAATCAGTTTCTCTATACAAAATATATTGCATTGTGAACTAGTGCTGGGCGGGTATGACCAAAAATTTATATCACGGTATTTTTCAAAATTATACCGGTTTCACGGTACATGACGGTATTTTTTTTTTCATGCATGCCGGGTGTTAACCATATTTTCTACTGATTGAGAGAGGAAATACTGCAGTATATGGACTTAGAATGCCCTATTTTACTGTCATGAGGAGTGAATATTGTCAAAAAATACCACACTAAATGAACAGTGTTTGATATGACACTATTTCAGTCAGATGGCTAAGATCTGATATTAATGAATAAATATAATTTATATTTCCTGATGAAAAGGATTTCTTTCTGTTAATATTTCCTGAAGAAATCTTTTTAATAATTTCATTTAGTTTCATTTAGTTTCTTCCTTGCAAACTAAGCGCTTGCACCAACCATCCATCTCTCACACACACTACCTGTGCACTAGAGGTCCCAGCAGACAGGAAGCTCTCAAGCAGTTGTACTTTGCGCATCTTGCAGGAAGGATAATTATTTTTTCATGTTGTAAAAGCTTTTCCATAGCATGCTTTTTTAATAGAGTGTCAAGATGGGAACTGGAATCCTTTTTTACATTTCTGAGGGAGCTAAGAAATGTGTGACATGGGCTCCAACCGGCTTTCTTATTGGAATGATGCCAGAATGCTGCTTCATGCCAGTGGAACTGCCAGAGACGCTGTGAGTGTGTGAGTTACACATGTCTCCAGGGTGCAGCTTATTTTAGTTGACGTCATGGATGTGCGTTAGCTTGCATTTTTGCTATTCACAGCTAACTTTTTGTGCCCTTGTGTGTTTAAGAGCTCTTTCAAAAATACATAAATGCACTTCATACATACAATGAATGACTTAAATACATTGCATGTATTAATTAAAATTATAATGGTGAAATATCAGACGAAGCTGAATTTTATTTTAGCAGCCATTACTCCAGTCTTCAATATTTCTTATGTGCTGCTTAATATTTTTGTGAAAACCTTGGTACTTTGTTTCAGGATTCTTTAAATAACAAGTTCAATTTAATGTATCCTTGCTGAAAGGAGTATCAATTTCTTTCTTTCAAAAACAAAAAAATCTCATTGACCCCAAACATTAAAACGTACCTGAAAAATGCATCTAAAAACTTAAAAATGGTAAAATCTATTACTTCAACCTTTTCTTGAAAATGCTATAAAACCACATGAAGCCAATATGAATACAATGAGTACATTTCTAAGAACTTCTGTTCTAAACTAATGTTTTAAAATATTTTTTTCTTTTCTTTCTTGTTGGACTGTCTTGTCATTTCATATTGCAATTTTACTTTTTGGTAGCTGAAAAGCTGCTTTGTTCACTTTGCCAGTAAGCAAATGCACCTTCGTACCCTCAGCAGAGTTGAACTCATGGAACATTCCCGGCATTCCAACACAATATGGTCTCTTTCTGCCCTGATTGGGCAGGCTGGAATGTGATTCATGTGTTTGAAGTCACATTCTACACCCCTTCTCAGTCTCACCAAATTAGCTTGTCCCAGCATGCTTGCTTTTGAACACTAGAAAAAAATTAAAGCCAACATGGAGCCAAATTTGTTTGACTTTGTCTTGGTTCTATCATACGTTTGTTAAAAAAAGTGATCTTTACTGGTATATTAATAATGATCATATCTCGTGCGCTTTGTGTTCTTTTAGGATTATCTTTGCTCTGGGAATCTCCATGACATTCATCAATATCCCAGTTGAATGGTTCTCAGTGGGTTTCAACTGGACCTGGATGCTGCTGTTTGGTGACATCCGCCAGGGCATCTTCTACGCAATGCTGCTTTCTTTCTGGATCATCTTCTGTGGAGAACATCTCATGGTAAGAGCCACTTTCCTGTTTTTCCAAACAATGTAATACTAAGGGAGTGTTTGGAAACTATTTGGTGCAGAACTACTTTGCAGTTTTATGTTAGACTAAACTAACTTATAGTAAAAAGAGCTACTGAATTGATTGCCATACTCAAAATTTAATATAGTTTATTACTATAATGCATTTTTGTTGTGTGTGTGTGTTTTTTTTTTTTTTTTTTCTTCTATTTAACAGTTTACTTTTATATTTGACTCATTCAAATTGTGTTTGAATTGTCTGTATCTCAGGAGATCAAAGTACCTGAGATTCTTACAGCCTTACAGTGCTCAAGAAACATTTGGTATTATCAGTGTTGAAAACGGTTGTGCTGCATAATATTTTTGTGGAAACCATGAAACACTTGTTTCTTGAATATTTTTTTTTCTCATGTAGGGCCTCATCTTCCGCTTCAAGTTCCTGATGTTGGTCACACTAGCATGTGCTGCAATGACTGTCATCTTCTTCATCATTAGCCAGGTATAGATTAGTTGTCAGCTAAATCAGTTTCTACATGATTTTTAATAGCCAGTGATAATGGAATAGGTTAGAAATGGTTGTGACAAGGTGCTTTCCTACTTTGTTCTTTTCCCCCCCTTCTCTCCTGTGGTGAAATGGGCCCTACAGGCAGCAGTGGGTGTCTCTAATCTTGGCCAGGCTTCCTACTTGGGCTGGCCTAATGAAAACCATCAGTATATTGATGTCATGCTTAAAACTTTCTGTATGGTTTCCTGTTCCCAAATGGTGTTTGTTGTTATTGCATATATACATTATGGTTATTTTTTCTTGACCTGATCGCAAACTTAGTGGATCTTAATTTAGTATTGAAAAATTATAGTGCATCACACATGGTTTTCCATGTTTGTTCAGGCTTGTGCTGCAACAAATTTTGGGGTATTTTTTTGTTTATGCTGAATTCTTTATGAAGACGTTATCACCTTGAAACTTATGTTTCCTGTTGTTGCTACCCTGTCATGATGTTAGTGTAAGTATTGATCAGTCACTGATACATATTCCTCTGTTCTCTTTTTCCATATAGCGGATCAAGCTGGAAATAGTGGTGAAGACATACAGTTGACCACCACCATCACACATGTGGACGGACCTACAGAGATCTACAAAATGACCGGCAAAGAAGCTCAAGAGTAACCATCACCTGTATTCAGGGTCCAACAAGAGTCTCAAAAGTTCAAACAATGCGCTTTTGCGTGTCCTGTGTGGTCCCTGTCATTTCAAACACAGCCTCACAAATATTAATCCCCTTTTTCACTTATTGGCTTTCCATTCCGCTGAGGTTCAGTCTAAAACATCTGCTTATGCCGAGCTGTAGAAAAATGGAGTTGCACTCCATCTTGTGGGTGCTGGGAGAAATTATGAAGTGTATCTCGTACTGTGGATAGGCAAAGGCACTGGTGATTGCAAGGACCAATACATTGGGGGGGGGAGGGAAACAAGGTAATTTCTTTTAATTATGCAGCAATTGTTTGTTGTTTAATGTATTCTGTAGCTGAGATCATTGTTTTCCCCTTTGATTTCGTAATTACAAAACAAGGAAGAAAATCTGTCAGCATACTGTAGTTACGAATGCTTTTTTCCCAGTTGATCCTTCCTCATATGACTTCCTTAAACACTCCCTACCAAAAGTAAACACACCCATCGAACCCATAACGTGAATGACCGAGTTCAAACCAACGTCTCCCAGAACAAGATGTGGATGTAAAGTGACATACAGATAGATTCATGTCCTTGTGTTCTGAATGGCAAACACTATGTTCATTATGTTACAGTGTAGAGATGTATTTTTTATAAAGTGCTTATTTTCATCTGTTTGAAAGCATCAGTGGCTGAACTGTATCGTGTTGTTAAAAAGTATCTTTTTGAGATTTTCGATTGTATCACATGGAAATTTGGGGTTTTGTTTTTTCATGCTTTTTATGCTAATTTAAATAATAAAAACATTTTAGATTTGTTTGGTTTAAGGGACTTTGCTTAATGAAACACTGGTGAACAGAAAGATGTGCTGCAGTATAGAAATAAGTCTCAGAACTACATTTGATATGTATACTTAAAGCTTTTATATAAGTAATATGAAGCAGAAAAAAATCACCTCTTGCCCTAGTGTACAATCTTGAATAGCTGACCCAATGGTACCCAACAAATAGCCTATATATATATATATATACACACACACACACATAAAATGCACCACTTCATTGCTTAGTATGCTGCCATCATCTTCCTGCTGCCCATCTCTGCAACACAGCAGCCTTTCAGTTTATCTCAGCCTCAACAATCTCCTGCTGTATTCTTCGGCCAGGTGCAGACTAGTGCTCCACTGATGTAATAACAGAGACATGCAAACATATACACATCTACCATACGGTAATGGCTATTTGTTGGGTACCATTGGGTCAGCTATTCAAGATTGTACACTAAGGAAAGAGGTGATTTTTTTTCTGCTTCGGAAGTGGCCATGACTTATGAATTCTGCAGGGAAATATCATGGTTACCAGGAGTTCATTAATACAAAACTGAAAAATGTTTATTTTTATATTAAACCTAATCCGATTTAGGCCTACTTAAAAATGAGGGTACTTAATTTAAAATCCCAGACACTTTCTTTACGGCCTTTGTGTGTGTGTTACTAAGTTAACATCATGGTTGAAACAGAAAATATAATAATATTAAATGGTTAAAAATGGAACGAGGACCATTGGGAAAAAGACTGACTTTAAATTATTTTCAAAATAGCAATGTAATATTGGCAGAATCAATGTAACCCAAATCTAATACTTTTGACTGTGTCACTGTCGTAATGTAAAGAGACAATAATCATCACAACGACAAATTCCTGACAGTACTAAAATAACATGGTCGATAAACCAACATTCCTTGCTCTTTTGTCAAGGCGAGGGATTGATTGTTCCCAGAATCACAGAAAGAGGGCGCGCGAATTGAGGAGAATTCGGGAGGAGAACAATCAGCGGCGTCTCTCTCCGCAGTTTTTATTTATTTATTATTAATTAAACATTCGTTCAGAAATACAAGTGTGACAGAACATATGCAAAGGAAAAGAGCCGTCTCCCTCCGCAGTTCGAAGGCTTCGAAAGGTCGACGGTGACGTCATGTCGTGCGCCGACCGTGATTGGCCAGTGTAGGTGGAAGTGTTACAAACGGTGTCATTCACAAAGTAACAAGAATACATTACAATAGTGATAAAGAATGCAATTAACTTTAAAATAGTATTTAGATCATTTTCCAGGCAATTTTACACGCGGACCTTTTGAAGTTCACGTAAAACCAGTTTTGGGGCGTATTTTCCGTTTCTTCACTGATTTATCAGCAGATCACACTTGAGAGATTGATTTAAAGGTAAGACTATTCTGTCGACGGCGAATGAGTTTTACGGTTTTAATTTATTTGTATTTAACAAATAACACAAGATGTAGAAACTCTACTGCTTCTTTTTGTGGCCTAGGTACATTTGTATGCCGAAAAGAGAAAGTTGTCGCCTTGTAATCCTTTAAGTTTATAGGCTATCAAGTTGTGAAGCGGATAACAAACTTTCACGATTCAACAGGTTAGTCAGTGTGAAATATTAAACTGTACATCAGTAGGTGGCTATAAATCTAACTCATGAACTACAAAATTAAAGTTAAAATGACTGCCTATTATTCACCCTTTGGATTGCGAGGGAAATTCCTGTATTTAAATCATTGTTATTAGTAGGCCAAAATGACTCTGGTTGGGTTGTTTAAGATCAAAATACACTAACATATACCAGAAATCATTTTAAGTCTTTCTCAGTTTCTGTGAGACTGCCTCAGATCAAACTACAAGTAGAGACAAGACGATTGAATTTCCTTCTGTAGTCAGTGATACTATAGGGGATGTACTGCACATTAAATACTGGCTGTGAAACGTAGAGTCCAGACTTGTACATAAAGTTTTAAACCCCTAGTTTTGCCCCTCTGAAGGGGTTTGCATGCATGACTACACTGTTAATGATCCACACTCATTAGTTTGCATGTGAGCCCATTGAGGAGCCCTTCATTTCTCTTTCATCAAACTCTGTTCAAGGACCATCCTCCCAAGTATTTTATGGGCAACAAAACAATCTGATGTTACCGGCTTGGTAGCCACATCCATGTTGTCTTCATGGGTAGGAGAGTGTCTTGAATGTAGTCTTGATTTCCTTGGAAAGCTGACACATGGCCTTGAGAATGTCCCTGAACTCCCATACATACAAATAACAAAGTTTAAATCATATTCAATCATCTGTTTAAATGAATATTTTACCAAAAGCAGATTAATTTTTTACTTCCTGCCATGTTGTCTGTGTCTATCAAGCTTCAAAATGGACAAAAGAGGGAAAACACCATAAATACAGACCACACGACTCAAGTGCTATATTCCAATTCTTTTGGAGCTATAGAATGGGTTTGTGATGAACAGACCAAAGTTTAATACATTTTTCACTGTAGTTTTCCAGTCAAAAATAGCTCCTTCTGATGCAATGTGCCATTGACATCCAACTTGAAAGTAGCACATGTCTTTGGTTCTTATGTTTCTGGTGACCAAACATTATTGATGTCAAATCTTATGTACGTAAAAATATCCTAGATCATAAATAGCATTCTCGTCATGGATTCTCTCAGGATTTCTCTTTCGTAATTGCACAGACCTGAAAGCAAAAACCACTATTGTTCAAATCTATTGGAAATTCCTAAAAGAATCTGTGGGCAATCAGCCTTCTGAATTGGTCGGCAAATTCACATCATGATTAGATTAAACATTTCTATTTGATTTAAACTTGATAGACTTGGTCGCCATGAATGATTATTGTATAGAAAAGAGTGAAGTCGTCATTTCAAGTCAACTTTAATAATAGAGCAACATGAGTAAATAATGAAAGAATTTAAAATTTTGGGTGAATTCTTAAGAAAAATAATAATAAAAAAATACAGACACATAAATCTGCTGCTCTCTTTTGAGATAGTGGTGGCTTGTAGTGTTGCAGTGATTAACCACAGAACTGTTCAAACCTCTACTCGCCATAGTGCTGCTTCAACTTAAGAAATATCTAATATTTGAATAATGCCAGCTGTTTGTGCGACATGTTATACAGTAGACCTTTTGTATCATTGTACATGAATCATCAACATTGGGTCGGATTCCAGCAATACAATTGCATTACACCATATACTGTACATGACCCAACTAATGAAAGTTTTTTTTTTCTTTTAGACATCCAAAATTACAAAAACAAAAGTTTACTGTTCCCCTTAAACCCACCAGCTCTCAAACGTTTGGCTGCAATATAACTTTGTAGAATTTAAAACTTGCAAACACCTGTGTTTTCCTGTTACTCAAGGAAATTTAAATGTACTGCTTACTCTGAAAACTATGTGCAGTTTCAGCTTAGTTTCTTTTTCTTCTGTTTATTTTTGGTTATGACGCACAGTGTATTCACTCTTACTACTGTATTAGACTATAAGACTTTAATAAAATAAGATGGCTGTCCTCACAAGGGATTCATTGATGCAATACTTCATACCCTTTCTCGATTTGATTGTGAAACTAAGTGTTGCACCATTTTGGTTTCCTTAGAAGCCACATTACGATTTGTTATATCGCAGCAGGCTCCACAATATATGTCATCACCACTCTTACCTTAAAGCTATAAATATATATACATATAATATGTATAAATATACAATTATTTTATTTCAAAAAGTGTATAATTATTTTTTATCAAAAATTATCAATATTTGAAAATATTGATTAATTATATATAAATAATACTAACACTGGCACTGGTCTCTGGTCTCAATGGTCTCTGCATACTGGCTGTAATGCAATGATCAGACTTTTTTTTTCATTTGGCGCATTTAAAAAGGTTTGAGCCATGACCTAGTAGTTAGCGCAAACACTCTGGCCCATCCACAGGCAATGTGGGTTTGACTTTACCTTTTGTCCACCATCTCACTCCTGTGATTTCACAGAAAAAATGTATTCGCCAAGATCAGTCTCATGCAGTCACTTTTATCCTCTGAAATATTAGAAACAGTTTTAAAGAGCTGCCGCATGACTTCAGAACTGCACTAATTCAAAAGACTTAAAAAAGTTATGCAATAATAGATAATAGAATTACAAGATCATGTGTGATTTTAGTCAGTGGTTTCCTAGTTCTCATATCAAATGTGAAAACTGTTATCCAAGCATCTAAAATTATTTCTTCATGTTTCTCTTTGGTTTTTCCCTGACCTGCTCAGTTAAACATTTTGGTAAAGAGTTACTAGAGTAAATATGATATACAGTGCATATGATGGGTGAAATGATGGCCATGAGGTTTTTGAGAATTTGTGGACTCTACCTTATGTCTGCCAGTCATTCATCTCCATCCCAATCTGTTGAATGGATTTATTGTATCACCCTTGTCAAAATCATCATGTGCTTCCACTGTTAGGCATGTTTGTGTCAGCCCCAAATACCTTCCATAACAGTTCAAATCAGTCAGTGAGTAAGGAGCTGATAATTAAATCTGTAGTATGTGCATGAAAGATCTGTTTAGTTTAAAGTCGTAGTAGTTTTTTCAGTTGTACTTTTGTCACAAATGTTGAGCAAGGCTTATTCCATGCCTCATTAATGACAACTGTGACCTGTAGCGTGACGTGCTGTACTTCATCTAAAACTATTTTATTTATTGTTATTTTGTAAGTTGTTTTATTAGTATTATGGTATTGTTATATTATTATTATTAAGTAGTAGTAGTAGTAATAATTTATTCTCTATTATATTAGTATAATTTTGTATAATTGTTTTTATATATTTTATGTAATGGTATATAATTTTAAGTAACAATAATAATAGGTTACACTTTATTTTAAGGTGTCATTGTTACATTGTAATTATACATTTGAGTACTGAGTAATATTAATTAACTACATGTACTTACTATATGGTTAGGGTTAGGATGAGGGTTTGGTTTAGAGTTAGTTGCATGTAATTATGCATAATTTATTGTTATTACAATAGTAAGTACATGTAACATGTGTAACAAGGTCACCGTAAAATAAAGTGTTACCTAATAATAATAAGAATTATTATTATTGATTAAGTAATTATTTTTAACAGTAATTATTAGTAATTACTAACAGTGTTTTTTCTATGTAGAATATTGGAATATGTGTACTGTTAACACTGAAAGCTTTAGATTATGTGTCAGTTATAGCTAGGCTCAAACACAACATGCTAGGATGCCATCTATTGGTAATATGTATCTGGTAGTGATTTTTTTATGTTAATTAACTACATGTACTTACTATATGGTTAGGGTTAGGATGAGGGTTTGGTTTAGAGTTAGTTGCATGTAATTATGCATAATTTATTGTTATTACAATAGTAAGTACATGTAACGTGTAACAAGGTCACCGTAAAATAAAGTGTTACCTAATAATAATAATAATTATTATTATTGATTAAGTAATTATTTTTAACAGTAATTATTAGTAATTACTAACAGTGTTTTTTCTATGTAGAATATTGGAATATGTGTACTGTTAACACTGAAAGCTTTAGATTATGTGTCAGTTATAGCTAGGCTCAAACACAACATGCTAGGATGCCATCTATTGGTAATATGTATCTGGTAGTGATTTTTTTATGTTGTAATGCTGCTGGCCTGTGGCCACAAAGATGTTGTTTTGGCTGCTAAATCCCTGCACTACCATTTATCTCCAAAAGGTGGTGTACGTGACTCACACTTGATTCAGCACTTATAATTTTGTGGATGAAATCCAATGAGGCCATAGTTGAAAAAAAAAAAATGCTGCCTTTTGTGTCAATTTTCCATTGTAATGTTTGGTAGGGGTCAGACCCATGGCGAGACACATCATAAACATCCATTAACACTGACAGATGGTCAGAATGATACGTCCCCTTTTTAGCTTGACCAAGACCAGTTGGACAAAGTTTACATTTCGTTGCTGTCTGACACCAACATTAAGAGTGATTAATGCTGAGCAACTCTGAGGTATCCTATCTGTTCGTTAACTACAGCTGTTAGAATCTTGTCCAAATTCACCTTAGAAGACTTTTTTTTCACGAATCAATAGGGCATGACATTACCATAAATGGAGACCTTGAAACAGATGTGTCGGAGATATCAACACAAAATTATGGTTTTGTTACTTTATAACCTGGTCGTATCCTTTTTGCTTTATTTGGTAGTAACATCATTTATCTTTATATAATAGCATAAAAATGCTGTCACTGCATTTATTACATTTAAAGAATTTAACAGCAGATTACAACAGTTGTATATTTCCCAATTGTTTGTGGGAGTTCTAAGAAGGTGCTGACGTTGAGACGTGTCTTTCCTTTCTAGGGATAAAGAACATAATGATTCCGGTTCCGATTCCTCTTTATGATTCTGGTTCCATAATGGTTCCATTAATTAGTACTTTTTGCAAGAAATGCAATTCCAATTTAAAACAATGTGAAAGGGCGTTTTTAAAATAACTTTTCTTATAAATGTATATGCATACACACACACACCTATAAAGCATATATCAATGC